GCTGCATCGAGATCATTTAACATAGATGTCTTAATCATTTCCCACCACCGACATAAAATTAAGAAAATAGTACTTTTTAAAACTTTTTCTTTCTTCTTACAAAGTTCATACATGCATACAATGAAATACAATCTTATCTACTTGCCATTTTTCCACCTCCATCTCCCTCCATATTCCCCCCAACATATCCCTCCTCTCAACTTCATGTCTTTTTTTGTTGTTGTCTTGTTAGGGTTTTTTTTTTTTTTTTAATAACCTAAGTCCAGTTAGTACTGTACCTATGTGCACTGGTGTGTAGCCATCCACTGGAGCATGGGAATCCCCATCACCATCACCAAGGCTCACGGAACTTTGAGGAAAAGGAAACAGAAAGAATATAAGAACCAGAAGATGGGGAGGGGTGCTATGAAATGCTGTCTTCTGGACAGGACATGACTATCACACTCAAGACCTGCACAAATAGTAATTTTAAAAAAACCTTTGAAATTAAAAATAAATGTCACTCAGTGACCAGAGATGTGAACAATTCCTGAAGGAAAGTCAGCAGGTGCAATTGGATTGAGAAACAATATGGAAATAGTCCACAACCAAAAAACACCAGATGATGTGGCAGAGCCAGGGGCTGTTACAGGCGTGGCTCCAAGCAGACAGACAGATAGGGGATCAAAGCAAGCAGTGATCAGCTTGGGCAGGCTGAGCCTCTGCTCCTTCACTAGAGGAGCAAGTGCAGATACTGATGGCAAGAGAGCGTGCCAATACCCAAGGCAGCTGATGGCTGCAGAGGGACAGGGAAGCTGGGTGTGGTAGCACACACCTGTAATCCTAGCATTTGGGAGGCTGAGTCAGAATTGTGAATTGAAGGCCAGCCTCAGCTACGTATTGAGACCCTATCTCAAAACAACCACCACACTAAGACCCCAGTGGGAAGAGACAGTGACACCTACAGGCATCAGTTCCATTGTTCTCCAAAGAGCCACAAACCACAAGTTCCAAATACTGACATGAGTCTTAAGTGGAAAGATGCCAACTATTTAAGGGAAATTGACCCTGTGAAGAAAACATTAGATTTGAAACCATGAAAATGAATGTAAAACTCAATTTATACAGTGTAGAAATATTTATTGAGCACTTTATGTACAGCAGTACCGAGAAGAAAATTAAGAATGGAAAATTTGGTATAGATGAAATTAGAAAACAAGTTAATAAAATTTGTTATGTAAATTATATAAAAATAAAGGCATGGATCTAAGATTCTAGACCATCCTAGCATTGCATAGGCAGAGGGAAGGAGAGCTGTAAGAAGGTAATAGTTACTAATTAGCTTGGACTTTGATGAAGATGTAGATTTTAAAGTATATTGAAACTAACAGGATATTAATATGGTAATATTCTTTAGAGAGAGCACATTGTGTACTTGGATCAGATATGAAATGTGTTATTACATGATATTTTATGGGTATCACCTGTTAATGTTTTACTGTCATATTTTCTAGTTTTTCTCCCTGACTTTTGGGAGGTTTTTTTGGGAGGTAGCTTAAGTGTATATTTGAGTTTGTTGAAAGAGTGGCAGGAGATGGAAATTGATACTGTGAATGAAACTGACGTGGCAAATGGTGAAATTATAGCATCTTTCATCCTTTTTTCTCCACTTCTCAAACTTGCCCTGGTTATTGTCCCCTGCATGGCTTTTAAGCTGTGATATACCTTTTCTGTTCGTCTTAATTTTAAAGTTCCTAGCAAAGAGTCAAAGGCCGGCATTTCAGTTGTTGCTCATGATAGGAGTTTTCTTCCATTTATAAACCTCATTTTTTGCAGTGCTGAGACTGGAATCCATGGCCTGGTGCATGCTAGGCAAGCTCTTACCTCTGAGCTACATTCCCAGCCCAGAGGTGCCCTTTCAAAACTGGAATGATTTTCCCATGTAATAATGAGTAAAGAAATGCTTCATAAAATATTATGGTTTTCTCAATGTCCTCATGCTATCTTATGATCTTGTTTGGCATGAACTTTTGCTAGTAAAGTCTTCAGAGACTGCAAACAGTTTTTTGTCCTTGATAATCTCTAAAGACCTAGAACTGAAATTAAAAAATGTTTCCTATCTTTCTAGTTTTGAATTATGAATACATAATGACTATTTATAGTGAAACCTGTTCAGAGTCAAATGTATTTTGTTCTTCATAAAATATAAAAGTAATTACAATTTGTTATTTGTCCTTTGGTATATCTTGAAGGAAAGGGGGATAAGAGAAAGGCAAACAGTTCTCTCCCTAGAATCCTTAAAACTAAAATTTATTAATAAATATTTCCTGGAAGAAGTCTAGATGTGTGATTTATTTAAGAAAACCTGTTTACCCTCATCACTGACAAAAGAAAAAGCAGACTTTAAAATGGTGTTGCTATCAGACTGGGAATGTTTTCTTTCTTTCTTCTTCCTCCTCCTCCTCCCCTGCCCACCCTCCCTTTTTAAATGTCACAGAGTTGGAGATTGAACACAGGACCTTACATATGCTAGGCAAGTGCTCTACCACTTTGACTGACGATATTCTGAAATGATGTGGAGACAAAGAAAATGGCATTCATGGGCTGGAGAGATGGTTCAGCAGTTAAGAGCACTGTCTGCTCTTGCAGTGGACCCAGGTTCGATTCCCAGCACCCACATGGCAACTAACGACTGTCCATAACTCCAGTTCCAGGGGATCTGATACCTTCTGCTGACCTCCGTGGGCACTGCACTACACAGGTTCACTTACACACATGCAGGCAATACACTCATATACATAAAATAAAAATAATAAATAAAATATTTTTTAAAAAAAGAAAATGGCACTCATATGAATAGTGACTGAGGGGGTTACACCCTTTAAGGGATTCTTAGGTTCAGCTGAGGAGACAGCTTCAATACAGTTGCCACAAACCAAATCAGATGCAGCATCCCTAGCCAGGAAATGTTTTTTTAGAAACTCTTTAACCACGAAGAATAAATAAGTGCAATCTTTCTCCCTCTTCCTTTTTGAGACAGTCATTTTCCTTATGCATCCCAAATGACCTTAGACATCTGATGTAGCCAGGATGGCCTCACCCTTGAGATTCTGCTGCCTCTGTCTCTAGAGTGTGGGAATTACTGATGTGCATCATCACATCCAGTCAGTCTCTTCTAAAATCACATTTTGGGAAAATACGTTGAAAGCTCTTGTTGTACATATACTTTTTCAGTCTGAGTATTTATTTAACAAATATCTACAAAGATGTATGTGTCTGTAGATAAGTAGGTTCACTGAAGCTTTATTCCCATAGTAAATAATCAGTGATGATCTAAATGCTCGAGAGTTGCTGGGACTATATCCGTGTTCTTAAAAAAACTGTGTAGTTTGTAGTATAGGTATGTCTAGAACAATATCAAAAAGAATTCTCTAAAAATAATTTTTATTATTTTTATTTTATGTGTATGAGCATATTGCCTGCATGTATGTAAGTGTAACTGTGTTGTGCAGTGCCCACGAAGGTCAGAAGAAGGCGTCGAAGCCCATGGAACTGGAGTAACAGACAGTTGTTAGCCACCATGTGGGCACTGGGAATCAAACCTGGGTCCTCTGCAAGAGCAGTCAGTGCTCTTAACCACTGAGCCATCTCTCCAGCTGCATAAAAATAATGTTTAATTCTGAGTGATGATTTCCATCCCTCTCTTACTTCTCTTTCCTCCCTTTTTTCCTTCTTCTCTTTCTTCCGTCTTTCCTTTCCTCTGTCCTTCCTTCCCTCTTCTGTCTTGCTTTTCTTTCTTTCCTTCTTTCTTTTGAGATGGAGTCTCACTGTGTTGTCTAAGCTAGCCTAAACTCTTGGGCTTAAGTAATTCTTCAACTTCTTGGTACTACAGGTGGTGCTATAGGTGCACCTTACTATGCCCACCTGGGTGATGATTTTCTTTTTAATATTTTAAACCAAGAATCTCATTTTTAGCTGTTATCATATATTTATATAAATGCTTATTTTATGGAAATTATAATCAAAGAAGTGTATTTCAATGCAAACTGCTTATATACCAATTATGTATTTTAAGAGCTTATTACCTTTAAAAAGGCCTCATCTTGAACTTCTTTCACATATTTTAATGAAATTGTATATATTTTGTAAACTACTAAGAACCATCTAACATCAACATTTGAAGCATTCATATTGAAATGTTCAAGTCATCAAAACCATTCTCAGATCATTTTCCCATGTATATTATTATTTAATTTCTTGTTTCTAATGAAAGTTTCATTAAGTTTAAGTCTACCAAAAGTGTTTAAAAAGCTAATGCAAGATTTCGTTAATTACCTGAATTAAACTGGGGGGTTGGAGAAGTTGGAAGAAATATGCCACAGAAACTGTGGCTGTGACAGTTGAGGGAGACACATAGCCATGTCTGTGTCTGGCTCTCGAGGCTTTTGTTAGGTTCTGGGTAGGTTATGGGATGGCATCGTTATTGCTTAAGGGAGCTATTTTTAAATGTTTACCATTTAGTCTCTCTCTTCCCCTTAGTAACATGTGACAACATAACTGGTTTTTAATATCATACCATTTCTGATAGTTTTACTGCTCCATTGGTTCAGAAAATGTAAAACAAATCTTTAGAGGAACATTGAAAAATTGCAAGTCAAACTATTTGCTCAGCCAAATAGAAATCAGTTAAGGAATAGCCATAGGAATTGTGCTTGTTACCTGCTGTTTCATATTAGCTGTGTTTCTTATTGTCCTTACACGTTGATGGGGGAGGGTGTTAACCCCAGAGGAAGGACCCCATGTCTTGCAGAACGGTACCATTTAGGGCATTGTGTAGAGTTCTGGTCTTGCCCCCCCCCCGGGAATGTGATACCTTGTAAGGCACTTTCCTTGTCTGAAATGAACAGGTGAAAAGAGATCTCTTAGGTCCTTCTCCACTGAAAGCATTCTTAAAATGCATGTGATTTACATTTTAATATTTATGATAATAAGGGTTCTGATTATTTTGTTTTGTCTTTCAGTTTATATCTGTTTAAACTAGGGATTGCACCCCAGATCCAGGATTTGCTGGGAAAAGTGGATTTCACAGGTACTCTTTGTTTTTATGCTATTTTTAAATTTTTTTATTTATTTTATTTTTGTATGTATATGAGTGTTTTGCCTGCATGTATATAAGTGCACCCCATGTCATACAATGCCTGTGGAGGGCATTAGATCCCCTGGAACTGGATGGTTGTGAGTGCTGGGAACTGAACCCAGGTTCTCTGTGAGAGTAGCCAGTGCTCATAACTACTGAGCGATCTCTCCAGCCCCTCTCTTTCTACGCTTTTGCAATTGTAACTAAGAAAATGTGTCAGTGATTTATTATTTCATTTGATGTTTTTGGCTCCCTTTCTTTCTCTATACTAATAAGAAGAGAAAACTTGCTATCTTGGTCTCTTTTTCTATGACTATGACAAATACCCTGAGGAAAGCAAACTTAAGGGGGAAAGGGTTTATTTTGGCTCACAGTTCAAGATACAGTCCATCATGGTGGGGAAGTCAAGGCACCAGGAGCTTAAAGAAGCTGGTCACCATATATCCAGTCAGAAGAGAGCAGTGAATGCATGTTTCTGCTCAGTTTCCTTTCTCCATTTACACAGTCCAGGATCCCTGCCAGAATGGTGCCACACACAGTGGGCAGGACTTCCCACCTCAGTTAATGTAATCAGGATAATTTCCCACAGGCATGCCCAGAGGTCCATCTTCCAAGTGATTCTAGATTCTGTTAAGTTGGCAACACTGTCATACTTTCCTGCCTTGCTTATGCTTGCCTGAGTTCCCCTTTCCCATGTTTATGAAATGAGAAACTCGGGCAGATTCTTCCTCAGGTTTTGTTCGGAAATGGCTCCATTCTTCCTGAAGAAGATCCTTCTCTGTATGAACGTGATCATTCCTGCTTCCATCTCACCAAAGCTCCCTTTGATTTCTGTTTTCTGTTGTTCTTTCAGAGGAGGAAATCAGTAATATGAGGAAAGAGCTCGAGAAGTATGGAATACAGATGCCATCTTTCAGCAAGATAGGTGGTATTCTAGCCAATGAACTGTCTGTAGATGAAGCTGCATGTAAGTCTCTGTAGAATTCACACTTGACATTGGCCTGCAACTTGCCCATGTGTATTTGCTGATTTCAATACCATGAAATAGGATATTTAGAAAATACTCTGTAGAATTCACACTTGACATTGGCCTGCAACTTGCCCATGTGTATTTGCTGATTTCAATATCATGAAATAGGATATTTAGAAAATACTTCAAGAACCCTGAAAGTTTCTTCTTTGTTCCATATATAGTTCTTTGAGGCTGTTAGAACATAACCAAATAATTGAGTTTTTTACTTTAAATATCCACTTGTGCAGTATGAATGTAGGGTTGGGATTTCTTACCCACTTTCCCACATTTATGTTGGGATTTTGTCTGACTTGAGTTTACATGGTTCTAGTACATGCTATCACCATAAGTTCATATGAATAACTGACCAGCTATTTAGGAAACTCTGTTTACTTGTAGCTATCTACCACCTCTGGCTCTTACAGGCTTTCTGCACCCCCCACCCCCGCCACAATGACCCCTGAGACTTAAGAGGAAGAAGATTGATATAGGTGTCCAATTCATGGATAAGCACTCCACAGCCTCTCATTGTCTGCATGTTAGCCAGTTGTAAGTTTCTGTGTTAATCACCATCTGCTGCATAAGGCAGCTTCTCTGGTGAGAGTTGAGAGAGGCATTAATCTATGGGTATAACTAATATTGCAAGTTTATGGGTATCTCTTAGAACTGACTTGTTTCTTTAAAACCAGGTTATCCCAAGCAAGAATCTAAGACTGACTCTATACTCTAATGGATGACATAGCACTTGTTTCATTTTAGCACCTGAATAAATAGATATGTTACTTAACAGATTCTATGATCAAAACCAGACAGATGAGCTTGTGGTGAGATCATCAGGCATTTCATGATATATCCAAGGCCTCTTCTCATTGGTGGTTTTGTTTGGTTTGGTTTTTGTGTGTGCACCAGCATGTGCAGAGCATGCACGAATGTGTGCATTGCATGTGGAGGCCAGTGATCAACCTCAGCTGTTGTCCCTCGGGAGCTGTCCAGCTAGTTTTTTGAGACAGGGTCTTTCACTTGGACCTGGGGCTAGCTAATTCTGTTAGGCTGGCTGGCCAGGCAACCCTAGGGATCTACCTGTCTCCACTTCCCCAGTGCTGGGATTATTAGCACAGGCCACCAAGTCCAACTTTTTACATGAGTACTGGGGTTGAACTCAGATTCTCATGCTTACTTGGTAGGCACTTTACCAGCTGAGTTCTCTCCCTAGTCCTGATCTGTCTTTTTGTATGTGTATTTACTAGAAACCAAGTGAGACAGTTAAAACTGCTTGAGTTCCTGGGGTCCCAATGCTGTTCATTGTCTTTTGCTGATAAACATGTCTTCTTTACTTTTCAGTACATGCTGCAGTCATCGCCATTAATGAAGCAATTGAGAAAGGAGTGGCAGAGCAGACCATTATAACACTAAAAAACCCAAATGCAGTTTTAACTTTCGTGGATGACAGCCTTGCACAGGCGTATCAGAAAGAACTCTGGGAAGCTAAAAAGAAAAAAGAGGAAAATGCAAGACTGAAGGTACTTAGTTTAAGTAATCCATGTAGTATTAGCGATGGGTATGATTACTAGTTTGAAAAATCATTAATGTTAACAGCGATCATGTGTAGATCAACTGATGGTTTCTATAGCATAAGCAGTTGATTTGGAGTCAATGTAAGGGTTAGAAGAAGACTCTAAATTATACAACACAGTTAGGTTTTCTCTTATGAAGGATTGAACATTATGTCATCAACTTACTAACCCAGGGTAGTAGTTGAAGATCAGTCCCTATATATCCTCAGACTCCATGTCAGCCATATGACCTTTGAAATTATGGGTAGAAGTTAATAATTCAATGTGGAAAAGGTCGGAGAGTAAGCTTTTGAATCTAGCTCCACGTTTTCCCCGTGGTTATCACATCTTATTTTCTCACCAAGACAGCCTGTTTCTGATCCTAATTCTAAACCTTCCCACTTCCTGATCAGTCTTTATTGCCAATCTTGTTTACACTGAGACTTCTATTCAGCATCAACTTTTCTCCCCTCATACTCTAAGTTCCATTCCTCTGTCTGATGTCTTTTCCTCACCCAGTGGCTCCCACAGGCCTCTATCATAGTAGCCTCACCAGCCCTGACAGTCTCTGCTCCCCTGCTCCCCTGGCTTGTGTGTGTGTGTGTGTGTGTGTGTGTGTGTGTGTGTGTGTGTGTGTGTGTGTGTTGGCAGCCAAGGTTTTCAGCTATGATCTTCCAGAGTCTCCTCTTCCTCCTCCCTCCTCTGTTGGAATTCTTTCCACATCTGACAGGATCCTTTTCTGTTCTTCCTCCACTGAGTTCATCTACTTGTTGAAGAAATGGGCTGCTAGCTCTGTCAGGCCCTCTCATGTCAACCTCACTACTGCTTCTGCAAATGTTTTCATCTGTGTTCCGAGGGCCTCATACCCCACCACAACCACCTTCCCTCATCACACTCATGCCCTACCTGACCTCTGATTTGGAATGACCGCCGTCTTGCCAGAACTCTTTATGGCCCCTCTGTCCTGCTCCTAGCTGGATTCCACTGCCTTTCCCTGCCAGCTGAAATCCCTCTCTTGCCTGCAGGTTCACTACACTGGCCCCGCTGCTGTCCCTCCCAGCCTTTCACAGGACTTTGCAGCACCTTCCTCCTAGGTCTGCCTGATTCCTGTCATTCTCCAAGCCAACCCCTCTCAAAACTTGAGACAGCAGAACTGATGTTTAATTCAAATCTGATGTCACTGTACCAAAAAGCTCTCCTGATTCTTTTCTGCCTACTGAATTAAGTTCAGGTCCTCAGCTTGGCTTTCAGAGCCCTCCATGAAACACAGCTGATTATACTATCTCTTTGGTTAACCATAGACATACCTTTGTGACTTATGTGACCAAACCCTGCTACCCACAGCCCACAGCTTCATCCTGTACTTTGTCTCTACTCTGTTCCCCCTCCGGGCTTTCCTCAGTTACCACCTTGGTTTAAAATGTTCTTTCCAATTGAGTTTGAGTGTATTTCTCTTATAGACTGTAATCTCTTCTATGATATTCATTGTGTTCTTGATTTTATTAGATTGACTCAAACTAAATTTCCAGTATTTCACTGGTTTTTGTCTATAAAAATGGCTATCTTGTCTAATGTTTTCATATTAGAAACTTAGCCTTGTCCACAGAGTCACTGGGTTTGCCGTTCATCTTTGCAGTCCTTGCTTGGTGTAGCTCCCCCCCACCCCCCAGAGCCTTGCCAGAGCAGGTATCCCACAGACGCTTGAATGCATATGAAAGTGAGCAAGTTACTTTTATTATTATTTGCATTTGCGTGTCATGCTTTGGAAACATTTTGTTGAAGCTTGGGAATCAGTGAAGGCTTCGTTTTGCAGAACAGCTGTGTTTCAGAAGAGGAAAGAGATGCCTATGAAGAACTGCTGACCCAGGCGGAAATCCAGGGCACTGTCAACGCGGTCAATAGTAAGTGGTGGGCTAGCAAAGGAAACGGATGCTCTTATAATGTGTAAACTCTCTTTGCCAGAATCCTTGCAAAACTCTCTATTTGTGTACATGCAAAAAATGCCTGATGTAATGGAAGATCTACTAGCTGTCAGTGTTGCTCTTAATTGTGGTGCAACATCTGACAGTTTCCCACTGAGTCTTCTTTGCTGATTTGCTCCTTGTTCTGGTCTGCCTTCGATGGCTGTGACAAAACACTCTGACCAATACCAACTTGGGGAGGAAAGGGTTTATATTTGGCTTACATCTCCTGGGTCACAGTTTAGGGAGCCCAAGTTCAGAATTCAGGGCAGGAACCTGGAGGCAGGAGCTGAAGCACAGGCCATGGAGGAACTCTGCTTACTGGCTTGTTCACCTGGCCCATGCTCAGCCTGCTTTCTTATACAATACAGAGAACAACCTGCCCACAGTGTGCTGGGCCCTCTTACATCACTCAAAAATCAAGAAAATACTCCACAGACATGGCCACAGGTCAGTCCAATGGAGGAAATTCCCCAATTGAGGCATCCCTCTAGGCATGTCAAGTTGACAACTAAAGTTATCCAACACATTCCTGGTCCACACAAAGTATGTCAAAGTATCCTTTGATCCTGCCTTCTTGTTTCATCATAGATGTGGTACATGTCATGTTTAATCTATCCCTTATGGGACTGACACTCATTTAACAAAAGATCATGACTTAACAATTCTGGTTTCTTTTTTTCTCCTGATTGTGTGATGGTGTTCTACTGAGGCGTGGCAGCATATGCTTTTAATCCCAGCACCCAGGAGGCAAAGGCAGGCAGATCTCTGTGAGTTCAAGGCCAGCCTGGTCTACATAGTGAATTCCAGGCCAGCTGGGTCTACAGGGAGACCCTGTCTCAAAAAGACCAAAAAACAACAGCAAAAGATACTGTTGACCCTTCTGTTTTTTATTCCTTCACAGTCTTTAGTCCACAGTTTGTAAGAATTGTTTTCACAGCTTCTATAGCTTTGCTGCCAGCAGAATGAGACTATTGGCAGCTAAATGAAGTTCATGACAGAAGACTGGTCCTAGATTCCTGAGCCTATGTCAAGTCACATAGTTCAGTTATAGTCTAATTCCTCTCTATACCCTGTTCAGCCTGCAATACAGGCTTTTCCCCATAAAAGATCACTGGGCCCATAATAAAGCACATGAACCTTGGCTGAATTTAAACTTAGAATTTCCACTAAATATGGTAGCCCTAAACCTAGCTTTCTGTATCACTGCTTGAGCAGGTTGGGAATGTTACTTATTCCTTTGAACACTCAAAGAAATGCATGCCTGCAGGTCTTCAAGGTCTCCTGAGTTGTTGGATGGCCTCGTCCTGAGGTATTCCAACAGCAGTCAAGGGCACCAACATAGATAAATTAATATCAGCATCCAGCAGCTGATAATCTGGGTTTGAGAATTTGCCTCACACATGAAACACAGGAGGGCTCACTGGTGACTCTTCTAAGTCAACACCTTACAATTTGGGATACACATTCATGTTCTTTTATTGCTGTAAAACTTTGAGCCTTGTGGGTGAATAATACATGATATCCAAATTCAGGTTTTTCTTTGTGAAGGCTGAGACTTTCATTATGCCTGACAGAAATGAATTACAGGAGGAAATTAATATTGTCAGTGAGACAACATCTGAGGTCCACAAACTTAGGGAGGAAATGGTTCCATAGCCTTTACCATCCTTTATTTTGAAATGTTTATAACCACTAAAATGGCCTTTTTCATGTTAAATAAAATGCTATGTAAATAAATACTTAAATACCAATGACCTAATTTCCTGACCACAAATTTAATGTCAAATTGGCTGTGCTCTATTTTCCATTTTTAAGTAAAAGACAGTGGGTGATTTGTACTCCAGTATAATCTGAAATTGATGGGAATGCTGCAGTGTTTGGTGACTTGGTTCTTCTGAAGCCTTGATCGCTTCCCTTTGGAAAATGTACAGTCCAGCAGAACTCAGAGTATTCTAATCAGTGACAGGACAGTGAGACATTTGTGTGCTTTAAAATCTGCAATACAGGCTTTTCCCCATCCTTGTTTGTCATTATATTAAAACGTTGAAGCGTTTGCATTCATTGCAGCCTTTGTAATGGCCTATCTGGCAGCATTGTGGTTATGTCAATGGATCTGTCCTCAGACTTCAGCATTGCTCAAACTGCAGTCACTTACTTTGAGGCTTGTAGTGTGCCTTCCATTCACTGCATAGTATATTCTATTAAGATCAAGGCTAGGGATTTGTTAAATGCAGTGTGCAATACAGAAGAAACATGGGATCTTTAGAGGGGATTGTTTTGTCAAAATAAAAAGGGTTTTTTAAACTTTTAAAAAAACTTTATTGAGAATTTCATACATGCATATAAGGTGTTTTAATCAAATCCATGCCCACTCCCTCCCCTCCAACACCTCCCATATCTCCCCATCACTTTTTTTCTGATAACTTCATGTTCATTCTTCCTTCCTTCCTTCCATCCTTAAATGGGGCTTTTTGCTACTGTTAACATTCCCCTGTCTGAAGAGGTAACCCTAAAATCTTTTAGGGATTAGATGAGAGTTCCCAAATACTCCAACAGCTATCAAAGTGCCTGAAAACAAATCCCGAGTCCATCACTCTAGAGTCCAGCCTTGGCAGACAAAAGAAAAATGAGGAGGAGCCCAATAGAGGGATGCTTTTGGAAGCTCTTGTCAAGAAATCCCAATGGACTCTCATATGAACATTGAAATTTGCCCTGTTCTGACTTTTTTCTAGTTCCCTGTCTAGAACTTGTAATGCTAATTACTCTTGCCTTTACTTTTCCTTTACATCTCCTATTCATAATTCAAGGACTTTCTTCTCCCCTTAGGGACAAAAGTTATGCAATTTGGGAGCCTTTTAGATAGACCCACTGAAGGGGTACCCCAATAGCCTCACCCTGTGTCCCTGTTCAGTATGGAAGAAGCCAGAACGGTCTGCATCCTGATTCCCTATCTGCAATTTGGGTAACCTCTTCAGAGGTTGCTGTGATAAGAATGGGAGGTAAGAACTGGCTAGGCAGTTAGGGTAAAAAAGACCCCAAAGAAAAATAGCCCGTTTCTTGGCCAGAAGTCAAAATGTCCTTGGACCACTTAGCAACATACTCTATTCCAAAGGCCAAAAATGTCAAAATAAAAAGTTTTAAGAGTATTTTAAGGACATGATACCTGGTAATATTTAGCATCTAGTCATACAAACCAACACAGTAAAGTTCCCAGAGGTGAAGCATCATCCCAGATGCAGCTGAAAGGCTTTGGATAAGTACTAGCCAAAACAGCAAGCACCATAGTCACCAACCTTCCTTTCTGGAATTCTTTCATTTGTTAAGTGAATTCTAAAGATAGAAAAGAAGTGTTTGGGCTCTGAGGATCCTTTGTGCTGTGTGTTTTCTAGGGGATGGCTAAAGAGTTCCATTAGTCATGTGTCCTACTATGAAATGATATCGCAGCAGAAAGTTCCAGGGAAGCTCCTTGAGGGATAAATTGTCATCTTGTCAAAAAGGGTTAGAGTAGTCTTAGCTGCAGTCTGGTCATGTCATTAGGCAGATAGACAAGTGCTTGAAAAGCTCTTAGGAACCTTTGTGTCTATTGTTCCTGGTACCCACATGCCTTTCTGAGAAGGCAAACCTTGCAGGCTCTGTCTGGTTTTCTCTTGCCTGGGGACAGCTCATCTTTCAAGCCATGTTAGGTCAGCAGTTCAACTTTTGTGCTTTAAAAACAATGCTGAATCCAAGCACCTTTTCCTTCATTACTAAATCTCTTTGTAACCTGAATGTTGCAACCAGTGGAGAGATTACAGAGTTTAGGATTGTATCAGGTAGTGGAAACAACAATGTACCAAGTGCTACAATGAATTTACCACAAATTCTTTCACTGAGGGGTACAGCATCAGGGTAGGGCTTGTTTCTGGTCTTCCTGTAGCTTAACAATTTCCCTGGTGAGGCAACACTAACCCACAAGGAACAGCAGAGAACAGACTGCTAGAGAATAGTATGGCCCAGCTTTACCTAGCAGTGGGGATTCACAAGCTGGGAAATCCTCAAGACTGAAGTAGTTTGAAGACATCGTGGGTGAGGTAGAACCAGAGCTAGGTACTTTGCTCAGTAAGTAAATTATTTGCCATGTAAGTGTAAGGACCTGTGTTCCAATCTCCAGAACCACAAAAGCTGGATGCTGTAGCTCATGGCTATAATCCCAGTGCTCCTATGAGACAGGAGACTCCCCAGAAGTTGTGGGCCAGCTAGCCTGGCATACACAGCAGTGAACAACAAAGAGACCCACAAAAAAAAGGTAGAAGGTGAGGACTGATACCAGAGATTGTCCTCTGAGCTCCATGTGCACACAGTGACACACATGTGCCCCCCCCCCACATATACATACATATATACACACACAAGAAAGGCTGTTGTCAGGGTATCATACTAGGCAGTAATGATCCCTTAACTCAAGCTCCATCAAAGCTGTGGTTCTTTTAGGGACAAGCCCCAGGCATTTGGCTGACTTAAATCTCTGAGCTGATTTCCCAAAGCTTTGCCCACCTCCACTGCAGCTTTGTGGAGTTTCTGGAAAGTGGCAGCTCACATTGGAACCTTTGAGAGGAAGGGCTGTCTAGGCGGGGCATCAAAGGAAAGCAGACATTCTAACCCAATATGAACCTTTCCCAGGGCTGGCTGCAGTGGACCACATCAATGAGGTCATTCGGAAAGGTGATCCCGAGAACACACTGCTTGCGCTGAAGAAACCAGAGGCCCAGCTTCCAGCTGTCTATACCTTTGCTGCTGCTATGTATCAGAATGAACTCTTCAACCTCCAGAAACAGAACACCATGGTGAGACATAACTGTATGTGTGTGTTCATACTGAGTCCCAGAAAGAAGGAAGGCTACTGAGAGAAGGGGAAAGTGGAGTGAGAGTCTTCAACTGGTACAGAGCCTCAGCCTCACTGACCCACCAATGCCAATCCCAAGGTTTCCTTCCTCTTTAACTTGTGCTTTTAATCCACACAAAAATGCTAAAGGCATAATTTGGAAATTCAGGGGTCGTGTACACAAATACACATAGAAACAACTTGTTCCTAATCTCTCTCTCTCTCTCTCTCTCTCTCTCTCTCTCTTTGTGTGTGTGTGTGTGTGTGTGTGTGTGTGTGTGTGTGTGTGTGTGTTTAAGAATTTGGGATATGGGGCTGGGGAGGTGGCTCAGCAATCCTCTTGCAGAGGACCCGTGTATGGTTGCCAGCCCACGTCAGGCAGCTCCAATCACCTGTAGCTGCAGCTCCAGGGGGATCCAATGCTGCTGTCCTCTGAGAGCACCTGCACTCTCAATCACATACTCACACACAGACACATACACATATACATAATTAAAAATAAAATAAATCTCAACCAGGCATGGTGGCACATGTCTTTAATCCTAGAACTCAGGAGGTGTGAGGTTAAGTAAGGCCAGCCTGGTCTGCAAAGTGAGTACCAGGCTAGCTGGAGCTACAGGGAGACCCTGTCTCCAAATAAATAAATGAATAAATAAATAAATATTTTAAAGGAATTTTGGATAACTTTAACTGTAGTGAAATGTTCTCTAAATTTGTATTTCTAGAAATACGCTACTAAGCATTAGTAGCAGAGCTTTGACTTTGGCAAATTTATGATCCTTACTATGCTAAAAGTACTAAACAGAAAGTTTCATAAAAGGTTACATAAGATCATGTTTACCCTTTCCTCAAACTGTGAGCAGCATGGGGGAACAGAATAAGAAGTAGCAGAATCAGAGCCAAGAATGCCTTATGTAGAAAAGCTAGCATTTCAGAGGTAGGGAAGGATTGCTTAGGAAATGGAATCCCTTTGGGTGTTAACTGGTGTTCAAAAAATTTAGTTTAGTACATACATCTCTCAGAATCAATTTCCACTAGTTTAGATGTTTGCCTAGCTTGCATGAGACCTTGTTCAATCCCTAGCACCATCAGCCTCCCAAAAAAATAAAAATAAAAAGTAATGAAAGTAAGTTAAATGTACAAGTAATTTCAAAATCAAAGTTCTAAGGAAATGTAGAACATAGAAAGCTGCTGATTGGGTTTTAAAAAGCTATAACCAGACTCCTCTACCAAAGAAAGGAGTGAAGCCAAAAGAATAGCCAACTCGGAAAATGAAGACTATACAGATGACAAACAAAAACCATCAGCCTCAACCAGGTAAATAACTGTAAATGAAAGCAAAGCACACTTATTTTTAAAAATTAGATTAGTAGGTGTTAAACATATTTGCCTGGGTGTTAGTATAAATTTGAGGCAGCTGGAGTCTCTTAAAAAGCTGGTAGGGAAAGTTGTACAGCCTTCTGGGAGAAAAGTGTGTCTCAAAGGCTCCTAATTCAGACCACTGCATTCTGGAAATTGAACTGGAAGGATGCAAATCAGGAAGCTTTAGCCACAGGGATGTTTCACAGCATGTTTGTGATGCTGAAAAAGAAAACAATCTTAACTACATGCTTAATTAATATCAATTGTAGATTACATAGTCTGTGGTACTTTCCTGTGCTAGGGATACTGTGCAACCAGTAAAAATGACAGTATAAGGAATAACGAGGCCTGGTGAGATAGCTCAGTGGGTAAAGGCATTTGCCACCCAGCCTGAGGACCTGAGTTTCATCCCTGGGACCTACATGGTGGAAGGAGAGAACCAACTCCCACAAGTTGTCCTTTGATCTCCACGCACATATTGTGGCATATGTGTGCCCCTATACCTACATAAATAAATGAATGCAAAATTTTTTTTAATTAAATAACTAATGATCAGAACAGAGTGTCCACATTCAGTAGAAAAACCAAAACCCGAGGCCGAGATGTACTGCATTATAGTATAGGTTACAAGGCTGGAGAGATGCTCAGAGAACCTGGAATTGGTTCCCAGGACTCACATGGTAGCTAACAACCAATTCCAGGGGATCTGACCTCTTCTGGCCTTCGTGAGCATTACATGCACACAGTATATTTACATACTTGTAGACAAAAACACTCATATGTGAAAATTTTTAAAAATTAAAATATATATAATATATGCTACATTAAAAAGAAAGTCAGTTAAAATTAACAACACTTCTATAAATCTAAGGGTAGATTAAAAATAAGAGAATATAGCCTTATTAAAGGTTTGGGTTAAAGATTTATTTATTCTTATCTATAAAGACCTTAACACCCCACACACACACAAGCATTTTCTACATAGAAAGATAGTATTTTGCAATAAGGGAAAAGCAGATTATTTTCTTACATTCTGTTAGGCTTTCATCGTTTTCCCTCACTTCTCATGGATTTGAAGCCAGACTTCAAGCTCTGTCATATATCAAAGTCAACCCATGCCACAACCCTGCCTGTTTTTTCATTTTTGCCTTTTTTATTAGAACCTACTTCAGATATTTGTGAACAGTTCATTGGAAGAAGCAGAGGAAGTAATTAAACATTGCTTCCATTTGGCTGTTGGAATTTTCTAGTCTTATGCCTTCCTCATGTGGTAAACTTATAGTTAATGTGTAATAATGAATAAAACATTCCCTATGATTACCACAATTTCCTATTTGCTGTAGAAACTTTATTACTCTGATACCAGTCTGTTGTGAAATTTATGTGGTGATCCAGAAAACTATAAAGATGCATTTTAATATGAATATGTTATTATACATATAACATAAAGAATGAATATTAGCTTTTATTTTTAGTAATTCTTTTTCTGGCTCTTTCCTTCAATATAATAAAAGAACTATCCTTTTTTGAAGTTGCCCAAAATGATATAAAAAATGATTAAACATAAGAAAATACTGAAAGGAAGGATGCTCTGAAAACTAAGATATAATTTTTAAATAATCTAAATAAAATATCGTAAGTTACATAAATGTGGAGATTCCTGCTTTATAATTTACCTTCAATTTCATCAAAAATCTAAACCTTATAATACATTTTGAAGTTTCTACCCAATTAAAAAAAAATTTTATGTATAAGTGCTTCAT